TGGCAAATGCTGAGGTATGGCATCCAGCACTGGGGCAAAGTCCGCCCTGCTCTCATTCTGGAGAGAAAACCCTTTCCTGGGTGATAATCTGTCCAAACTCTTCCGAAGCCAATGCAAGGATGAAAGGAAGGGCTCAGTCTCATACATATGCATAGCTGTGACATTGTGAACTCCGAGGGTTAGCACAGAAGATGATGACTAATTATGTTTGCCGTCTGTCATATCAAAAGATGTGCTGAGCACAGGGTGGCAATGACCGTCCCCTCCTCTGCCCATCTCTTTCACTTTCTGTCTTTGGCAATCTCCGTCACTCTCAGGTCTCCTCAGCATCTTTCTTGCCCTTTTTTTAAATTTCCCTGTCAGGTAGTCTGCTTGCCGTCTGTGAAGCTAAGCCGCTAGATGCTTTGCTTTTAGACTCAGCAGTTAAGTGCATTAATTCCCCATCTCTCTTATTCATTTGCTATTCGGTTTTATAGAAAACAGCATGTGTTCTTGGGCTACCCAAATGCACATGAATCTATATGTAAACGTATCACAAAACACAGTGTAAAACCCCGGCTTTGAGTCTATAGTCACAGCACCGTCCCAACGCTGAGCGGCTACATTCAGAACTTCTAAAACGTATAAACACTGCCTGCGCACTCATATGCATCATACACATATTCACAGAGGTCAGACCAGGTAAGTTGGCTTGGGGCCGTGCCTGCTTCCCTTTAAGGATGAGAGACCGAGTATGAGCGCATCAGCATTCAGCCACAGAAAGGCTGGTCAGATTGCGAAGACGGTGTGTTTGGGGAAAAAAAAGGGTGAGAGGGACATATAGACGGAGAAGCAAAACCTCCCAAGTGCTTTCAGGTTCACCTGCTATGCCGTACGGTCACTTGCAGTAATGAAATGGGCAGTCTCGCTGAGGGCCCGGCAGTCAGGGGGACTGGGCTGAACTCGCTTTTCGAACCCACAACTGGGAACAGTGGTTAACGGGCCGGTCAGAGAGAAGAAGACGCTCAGACGTGGGGGTGAGGAGAGGGAGAGCGGAAAAAAAGGGCCGTCCGGGTGAACAAGCGAAGAGTGAAACACAGCAAGCGGCAACACGCAGAGAGCGGGAGAGAGCAGAGGCAGAAAGGAAAAAGAGAGAAGGGGGGGTCGCCAGATAAACAGAGATCGACATGTGGTCCAGGCTCTGGGAAAGGCTTGTTAGCCAAGCACCGCTGCACTCCATTTAAGTGCGAGGGAGGGGTCCGAACTGGCCGCACGGCGTGCCGGGGAGCCGTGACTCTCCGTCGCTGGTATTCTGACACCTCGCAGCTCATTGAGTGGAAACTGATGATAGATTATAGAGGGAAACCTCAAATGAGTTGCTCTGCCTGCACATTTGCTCATTTCCCTCAGGGGACGGGAGCAAAGGGAAGAAAAGATGGGACATGCAGCATTAATATTACCCTCAGGGCCACTAGGAGTCTATAACCAGGCAAAATAACCAGAAAGTATGATGCAAATGGAGGCTACACGTTGTAATTTACCACATCTGTTTGGTGACTTTTCACAGTTTCAGCAATAAGATATAGACACGCGTTGGGTTTTCAGTTAAATTCTCTTTTGTTACACTTAATTATTACTAATAGATTTATGCCTTATTCAGTGTTAAAAACATGTCCCTTATAGCGTAATATATCATATATTATACCCCAGTTGATGTATGAAGATCTTAAAGATTAGTGTGACACATTGTATAAACCCTTAAAGCAGGTGCTAAATATATAAATAGCTTTTGTTTTGCAGAATGGACCATCTTTTTCTTCATATTTTAGTTATTCTGTAAAAGAGCATTTTTCTGAGTTGCAACCCTGACTTTATTTCATGAGACGGTATAAATACATAGACAGACAGATTTTGGATTTCAATGTGCTATTATCTCCTATCGGTCAAAACACAAATGCCTGCACTAGTTGCTTTGTATACTGGAAGAATAATTGCATGCTTACTATCACAGGCAAAAGACACCGTTTTTGTTTCAACAGGAAAATACCTCAAATAAGGAAAGTTTAATTGCATTAGTAAGGGCCATTTATATTCTGAAGGTCCTGTCTGAATATGAATCCCCTTGAGAAGAGAAAATGTCCCTAGTGAGACAAAGAAGAAAATACGCCGGAAATTGTTCAAGTAAATAATAATTTTGTCATTCTGCTTGTCTTTTCAGTGAATATTTAGACTGGAGTTGAGCGCCACTCTTCACTGACACACAAAGACATATATTCATGCATTCGGAAGGATTTGTTGACGCCAGTGCGGCACTTTTCCCTTCATTTGTGCTTTTACCCGTCAAAGACTATCTCACTGTGCGGAATATGGATCACTGACTATCAAAAGCTCTCACGCAAAAGAAAGGGTCGAGAGCAAAAGTATCAAATAAACATGAGATGGATTCCCTTCCAGTTGACATTAAAGTGGCTTACATTTGCACATTTCAAAAGTTTGTCATGGTTTCAGAACGTAGATTTGGGTTTTTTTGGACAATAGTAAAAGGATCTCTTGGTTGTAGCAGTTCATCATCATCGCCTCCTCCGCCTTGTCCTCCCTAGCCTGCTGACACTGATGGTTTCTAAGTGAGTATCTCATCCCCCCCACCCCCCTCCCTCTCTCTCCTTCTGTCATAATCACTGCTCTTTATGATCGGTTTGCCCTCTCTGCCCTTTCAAGATGCGGCATGTAATGAGGGCTCTGGAGGGCTGTGTGAGAGGGCTATTTAGCTATTCAGACAAGATCTGCTCACACATCCCACACGCCCTCATTCAACTGCCTACCACTACCTCTCAGCTGGGCAAAGTGATTGTTTGTCGCGCTCTCAAGGTCACACACTGGATGGAGCTGGAGTGGCTCAGGCATTCAAAATCAATGTGGGGCTTTCAGCGTTAACTAATGTCGTGATTAAGAATCAGGAAAATTAGAAATTTTAAATCTCTATCCCGAATCCTGAATGAATCAGTTATTGGAGTAATGAATTATTATTATTTTTTTTTTAGGAATTTCACTTAATGTTGTTTAGACAATAGGCAAAACTCAAAATTGACTACAGTTGGGTTCTGAACCTCTGATCAAGAAATTATGTCGTACATCATTCACTACCTGACAGGAGAAAAAACTCTTAGGGGAGAAAATTGGAAGAAATCCGTAAAGGACGGCAATTAGCATCAGTCCCTAGGATGTTAATGTGTACAGTAATTAAATTACTTTAATGACTATAAATTGTTTTTGATTCATTTTGCAATTATTTTATCTAACATGCTAATGTAATAACTAATATCTAACAACACACAAACTACAATTCTATCACTAAACATTACTACATGTATTATAATTTCTACCACTAGGGTTGCACTTCTTGCTTAAATCCCTAACACTACAAACTGGTTGGAAAAAGTCAGATTGTGTACTAAAATACTAATATGATACGGTTTGGAAATGCTCAGTCACAGGTTAAAGTCAAATTTTACTTAAAAGTACAAAAGTACTAGCATGAAAATATATTAAGTTAGTAAGTATTAATAATATAGAATGGCCCATATCAGAATGATATACTGAACACCATATCATTGTAATATAATTATTGATGAATTAATATTCCTCAATCATGATTCATATACTGCTAGTTAGGTGGTTAGCATATTCCTCCTTGGGGATCAATAATATCCTATCCTGACTTAAAAGATGACTGAAGATGATTGTCTCTTATGTGTTTCGTGTGTTATGTGTTTTTTTTTCATCGTTTATCTAAATCTGTCAAATAATTTAAGTTAAAAAAATGTAGCAGAAATTAATGTTCAAATAAATATTTAAATATACAGATAACCTATTTGTGTAAAATCTCAAATGATCACTACAATTAGAATATTTTTAAATGCACCCTTTATTATAAATAACTAATTAGTTTTCTTATCTGAAAGCTGCATTCCTGAATATTAATCTGAAATGCAGCTCAACACTATATGTCAAGTTTCTCCAGACATGATCTCTAAACATTGTGTTTTGGTTCTGGCTATATCAAATGTTATGAGTCTAGAATGAATAAAGCTGTGGAACATCGTGATTGATGTATATGACAGCCATCCACGTCCTCTGTTATTATTATATGCAGCCATTTTTGGGTTGATACCATTTGTAATACAGATTTGGTCAAACCATTATTGACCTCTTGAGGATTGACAAAAATAACAAAAAGTTAACCAAAAATACTGCATTATGACAAAAAAGACTTTAAGGAATAACATAGGAAAAGTCATGGTGAGACTTGGGTTCGCTATCTTTTGACATTTGGAGATATACAGCAAGAATTTTCATTTTTGGAACGTTTAAATGGCAGGCAATTCTCTTTTGGAAATTGCTCAGTAACGTCCTTTTTTAGGCCAACCTTATATAATATGGATGCTGAAGGTATGTAGTTTGTATGTCTAGGTTGTTTAATGACATAACATTTGGTCCCCTATTTCTTGGACTAGTTGGAGCACAGTGATCTTTGAACTAAACATCAGCTAAAATACTTACTACAAGATGGTAACAATATTGTGCTGACAAAATCTGTCCACAGAGAAACAGATCGATGCATAAACCCTATTTTAGAAGGTATTAAAGCCCATAAAGCCCACTGATGACTGTGACATGACCTTGATAATATCTGTACTGTGAGACAACATTTTTCTTTCCTACATCTGTTTCATGATAGATTTGGATTTGGGATTTGGATTTGGTTTGGGATATATATATATATATATATATATATATATATATATATCCAAATAAAAATGACAAATAACAATGTACAACAAAGAAAGAAATCCAAGAACATTAAAAAACAATAGTCTTGTAATAGAAAAGCAGCGACCATTTCATGTTTTTGTGTTGGCTGACAACTGACTTGTTGTATTTAAAACTCTTCTCCAGCTGTATTGTTACATGAACACATGGGCGTGCGCACCTCTCAAGCCCCGCCCCCCATCTGGCAGATAACCTATGAACGGCTCTGCGTACACTCACACGCGCTCATCTCTTCATCATCACTTTCCGGTCTTCAGTGTCAACATGGCGGCTTCCATGGCATCCCAGGCTGCAGCAAGAGGACTGAGAACAGCGACCTCAAAGCGTTTCCTTCTGGACAAACGCAAGGTACTGTCCCAGCTCACGTCGCGGACGCAGCGGGGCTCACGTCGCTCGGGGGGTTTCTGCCGTCTCTTGTCCGTTGTCAGCTGCGCGAGGAGCTGTTTGTAGAGCTACGTGGCTAGCAGGCTAGCATCTCTGAGCAGAAAGGACCGACTGAGGTCGAAGTTGAACAGTGTGCCTGTGTGTAGCTGCTCCCTTCGCCAAGTCATGTACAGACTGCTGTCCCTCAAACGGACACGAGCTTTTTCTGAGGAAAACTTTACTTCTCTCTAATGTTACAAAAGTACAGCATATAACGGTCACCATTGGCAGTGTGTGTGTGTGTGTGTGTGTACGTATGTGCGCGCGCACGTTTTTCGTCAGTCTTTCCATTTGAATTATGTATTTGTCTTATTAGTCATTTGAGCCTTTGTTTTGTTATTAACAGCATATTAATGTTCCCTTAGTTGTAAAGACAACTATGGCGACATACCTGGACGCTGCTACCAGGACAAAGTTCTCTAACTGCGGATAAGACCACAGTCAAAAGGTTCTCTTTTGCCCTTTGAACCTCCAGTGTCTGTTTGCGAGATGACAACAGCATTCATTCCATTCGGCTTGTCTATGTACACGTACACACTGGCGAATGATTACAGTTGTCAGTTGCATTGTCAGCTTTTTTGCAGCATCAGGCCAAATTATTGATTAACAACATGAAACAGAACTAAAGCCCCCTTTGATCTGCATCCTAAATCTCGTATGATTGAAATTGGGTCTATGAATGTTTGTAACTACAGTGCAGACTTGTAGGGTAGTTTAGAAGTAGGAACATTTCTTGCTTCTAATCTAATCAGCATTTCATTTTTTTTCTTGTTTGCTTTGCTTGTCTTGCTTCGACAATTGGAACAGCTTTGACATTGAGTCCCAGCCGGTGTGCATGGAGCACATCTGTTTACATGAAACTCAGGATTTACATGCTGAATGCCAATAAATTGAAACATTTCTTCATTGTGATTCTCCCTGTCCGAATGGGACATCCACAGCAGGCCACAGTATAAATCCACAGCAGGCCACAATATACATTGTCACCAGGATGCAGCTCCCACTGATTGAATAGGGAAAATAAATGCTTGTAGCAACTTCCCAAAACTGGCTTGTTTGACTTGTCTGAACAACAATTACAGACCCAAAGAGAGACACAAAGCATCATGCAGGAAGAGATACTTGTGTTGTTCTAAGGGTTGCGGAGGGGGAGGGAGGTGCTACTTTGGTTCCAACATGGTACACATTGATGTATATTGTTTACTATGCCAATAAATGAATAACTAACATAAGAAAGGTCAGGAAATAATCCCATACTTATTTTCACCCCTGAAACGCAACATCCAATGAAGCGCATAGAGTGGAAACAATCTCCAACACCAAAGGGAGGCAAAGGGGGATGCAGTTAGGTTGAAAGGTAATTTCAGGTATCAAATTAAGACTTTATTAAGGCTGTAGTTTAAAAGAGATTCATGTAGAAATGATAAGGATAATGGAAACGTTAATAGTTATGTTGAATTAATCCTATGTTTTCAAAGGCATTCTTTGGGAATTGGTGGTGTCAATTCCATATACCCACGGAGGGATAACATTTCAAAATCTATCTGCTATATTTACGAGAAATAGCCTAGCGGCATGGCTGTTTGTCATTTCTACATGACATGCTTACTACACACACATACACACAACTTTTGCAAATGTACAAATCTCACATTTACGGGCTGCTGTACCTCCTCTTCTATTACTCGCACCTCTCTCTCTAGGGCCAGGGGATAAGCGTTATGATCAGGGATTCTCTCTGGTTTATAGCACATTATCGGAGCCTGAGCTGATTGACAGCTGGGTATCTGCAACAGAATCAAATCAGCTTTGACAGTATGTCAGCTAAGCCGAGGAATTCAATTTGCTATGATTTGTCAACAACAATGCAAAGGACATCCCAATATTTAGACGGCTCGGCTCCAGGATGCTCTTAATCTTAAATCTTGAAGTGGAAGGTTTTTCCCCCTCCCTCTCTTTTTCTCTCTCTCTCATGAATCACATCTCCTGAATTCTTGTCTGCGCTGCGAGATAATCCTCTGGCTGTTTTTCACTGTCGCTGCACAGCGGTGAATTTGTAAACGCTCGCTAAGTTTCTGCTTCTCGCAAAGGTGCTCCTGCTTTGCAATAACCGAACAGTGTCGAAAGCCCAGCGTGGTTTGAAGGGAACAGACTGGGACGGGAGGTGGCTCAATGGGAGTGTACTGAATATCTTACCGGAGGCGGGTGGAGGCCCCCTCCGCTTGCAACGGCTTCTTTTGCTGGAACTTCAAACGGCGGGCGGCTTTCCCATCTGTCTCAGCGAGAACACATTTACATTTCCTCCCCGCAAGGAATACCGGAGGACGAAGTTGGCTCTAACTGGATTTGAATATCGCTTCACCAAGGTTAATAGCCATTTCTGTAGCCGGTGAGGTGCTTAGGCTTTTTCAATAATTTAGAAGGGCTGCAGTCATTAGGAGACATGGGCAGCCCTACGAATAGGGGAATGCAACGAGCAAGCGCACCGCTATTAGCTTAACTTGTGCTGTTGTTTGAGTGCCGATAACGAGGTAGAAGTGATGCCGAAAATTAGTTGACAACATGCGTAAACAATGTCCGAGATTACCGACAGCCGCAATTTATTAAGAGCGCAGTATGTTGGAAATTACGTTCAGCTGTCAAACCAGCTCATCCATCATCTTTTAAAATTAGGCCTTCAAACTAATCATAAGTGTGATTTGGATTTTATAATTGAGTTTGCCGAGGGCCCTGTGAATGTATTGTAATTTTTAAAAAGTTGCCCTCACTAATGTGAGTAAATCTCTACAACTGTTGGCAGTTGTAATACTACTGATAGTTGCCACAGAAATGAAAGCAAAGGTGTAACGTGAAAGCTTTGCTTGCCTTTTTTCGATGGATGCACATGACTCATGTTAGCCATTGTTCAATGAAGCTCCATGCTACATTTCTGCAGCCAAGGTCATGCATGGTCATGCACTTGTAAATAGAGGTAAACTTTGACATAGTTGCACGGCCTTCTCCTCACGACTGCGTTATCTGCCCCTTTTGACTCAAACACCTTTTGAGTGTGACTGTGTACCCATCTCTTATTAGCTATGCTAATTACTGAAATCCCTCTCCGTGGAGACACAACAGTCAGTTTTTTTCCTTTTCTTAAGCCTGTCTACAGGAGATTAGACCTGCCCTGCCTAAAGACCTGCCAATGATGCAAATCTGTCTCGCTGATCTAAATCCTGCAGCCACGCGCCGCTGCTCTCGCCCCCGTCTCTGCACCTCTGTTCTGTTACCAGCTCTGTTACAGGCACGTGTCATCTTTTTCCTCAGTACTCAAATGGCACAACCTTCGCTTTCAGGGTTTCCCCTAGTTCGGCCGACCGATGGGAGAGATGGTCCGCACAGACATATTTGCGCATTTCGGGCGGAACTGCGTGGGGAAAAGAAGACATAATTTTTTGTAATAAGTGCTTTGAATAGGTAGAATACCTTATATTTTCATTACATATCGACTGTGCATATACAACTAACTCACTCGCTGTCTTCTCTTTGGAGCCGGGGAAAGGGTGGGGGTTAGGGTGGGGCAGTGTACCGGCTTTTGAACAGTCATAGGTGTTGTGTTTGACCATATTTTGGTTTGAGACACACACGTTTTAGCAAACGTCCATCCATCCATCCATGGATGTATCCATGAATGTATTTAGGCTAAAAGCATTATCCTGCTGTCAAAGTGGCCTTTGGGTTAACCAGTAATCCCTCCGCACAAATCTCTGCCACCGATTCCCATCCAAATCTCCGGCGCCAAAGCCGAGGACCGAGGGGGAACTTCTGCCATCAATACTTGAGTAATTAAATGGAGACCAGGTTAGTTGGCCCTCCGAATTAGCCTACTAATGCTTCATGAGGCGTGCTCTTGTTACGCGGCTGGAAATATGCCTCTGATTCACACCGGCCTGCTTATGCAGAAAATCCACATCAACTCTGCTTCTTTGCGTCCTCCATTTCCATTTTTCCCCCCGCGCGTCGCCGCTCACGGCTCGCCACGTACTGCTTGTCCAAATACGAGGCGGCCTGTATGAATTGCAAGTAGAAAACTGCCACATTATTAGCAAAAAAACATCCACGCGCAATGAGCCTGAGAATGATTTCGATGGTGCTCCGATAGCACAGCTCCCTTTTGAGTCCGCCTGCCCGTGGACGCCACAAAGTTCCCCTTTTCAATTCTTCCCGGATGGTTAGCTAAATGGATGTGGAAAAAGACACGGGTTCATAACCTGAATGGGAACAAATCAATTACATAGAGTTGGTGAACTGGCCATCTGTTAATTTCTTAAACATTTGATAATGCCCCTTAAGGAGCATTCTGGTTAATTAACTCTGCAGTAATTTTTTGTCACTAATAAGGCTGTGTCATTTCAAAGGGGTTAGGGTCTGGCCATGACAAGTAATGAGGATTTTAACCTCACCAGACATCTGGGGATAAGACTCTGTAATGTGTAATAGGAAATATTCAACGCTGCAGTGGTTCAGTGGCTGGTTTAGACCAAAATGCACTGCTTTGTGTCCGCTCCATCTCATCAAGTGCTTCCATTCTAGTTCCTTTTCACACCAAAAGCTCCCGTTATTGTTCTAAAAGGTTTAATGTGTACTGAAAATATAGTAAGTTACTGCCACACATCACTAAACAGTTTCTTTTTAAGAAACAAGACCAACAAATAAAGACTTTCCTCTTCTCACACCGGCAACTCTGTGAGGCTGCACTTCACAAACAATACTTAACATACTCTAACATAACCTCCTGAGAACCATCACCTAGTTATAGTTTATATTTTATTGTATAGAGTATAAGAAGATATTCATCATTGTTAATGCAATCTTCAAATGGAATCCTGGAGGAAAAAAAATTGTATATCTCTTTGGTCTGACTGGGATATATATAAAGTTGATTT